AAAAGAAATCACGTCAACGCAATCCTCCTAGCCCCACAAAGTTACCATAAACCCCATACTTGACTCCCTTACACCATACAGGTCGCATGTTGTGGCTGTCGTCGACCATGTGACTACCGCACAGGGACAGTTACATGTTTATGGACGTCTTCGCATGCTTGTATTTGACATTTAAATAGCTCATTTGTTTTTATTCGCAAATTACGATAACAACCGAGACATACTCCCGCACGCACGCTCACACGACACGCAACGATATACGCTATAGTCGGTTTCTTGTTACTTAGTGGTCGGTAGTGGGAGAATCGAAAAGTGCAGTTTTTATTATTGTGTGTAGGTAAAATGTATAACATTCTTAAAATATCAGTATGTAATATTTATTTACTATAATGTATGTGTATTATGTTATGTGTTTGTTAAATTATGCTAAAAGCTGATAAGAAAGTAAAGTCAAGCTTAGTAATATTTATGTAAATAATGTGTTCACTAGCTCGGTGTTTATAAGCTACAGTATAATGATTTAAATAGTAACTAAGTTTAAATGGACACTTTTCTCTTCCTAATACGAACAATATTTTTAATTATTCAAAACACTGATGTTATAGGATAAAGGCGTTTAAAAATTTTTGAAATTATTTATAAATAAGATAACAATTTCATTTGTATATCTGTGAATTTTGTGAGATGAATATAAAAATTATAATATAAACAAATGTGCGATTTATGCATTACAGTAATCGAATTAGAATTGCAAGTAAACCCATTTCCACCCTTTAATTCAGTGTAAATTAATTACTATTTTCATTCACATTTACATGAGCAAGTTTGTATTACTTTTTAATATAGAATAACTATCTCAACAAACATTCACAGAATGAAACCCGTGTGTTATTTACCATAGTGGGTCGCATTTCAATTACTAATTCACAATGTATGTTCGGAAATATTTCAAGCACTTAAGGGACCTATAAAAACTTAATCAAAAATCTTTTTAGGGAATTTAAACAAAACTGTACATGACATTATTTACATGCAATTTTAAATACACAAGCCCTTTGTTTGTTAACCAATCGTAATGACCAATACCACTTACAAATCGATCAGCCAATATTTCCAAACTTCACAAACAGATAAGAAGAGTGATTCATTAAGTGCGTTCTGGGACAGACTGCATCTAACTCAAGGTTGTTGGTAAAGTGTTTAGACTAAAACAATAAATTACACTAATAGATCACGAGGTGGAGGAAATTTGCGTCTAATTGTTTGAGTGTACGAGCTTTTCTCTTATCAGGGTCGTTTAACACGGGTCATTTGATTTATCAGGTCATTTACAAGCCAAGTGTAAATGACGTATCATTTGTTTGAATATTATGGAAAAGTATGGAAGTAAGTGTAATGAACACTGCTTCAAGGAAGAATTTCTTCGCCGAAACACAAGCAATATAAACTAGTTAACTAAAATTACAGCAACGAGTGTATTGTAAAAACAACTAAAATAAAAGCAAAGATTTATTTACAACTAAAAGTAACTGGATTAAAATGTTAAGCGTTTTAAGAGTTAAAAACTATAGCTGACTTAAACTCATCATTAACGGATGAAAACCATTTCAAACTTATTTTTAACGGGTAAAAATTAAATACATTTTAGAATGGATTTCATTTTGAAATTTGATTAAACTGCTGATGTTCATGTTAAATTCTATTCTAGCTACTCACAAATCTAAATAAGGTATATACTAAATATTAAATTTAAGTGGTTTATTGTCATTCGATAGTTTGAAAAAAATAATTTTAGTTCCATCATTTGAACACTCAATGAAATGATGAGATTATGCACGATGTAGACCTAGTTGATTGGATATTTTTTATTGAATGGTAGTATTGATAATATACGAATTTTAATTTATTATTATCGGATCGTGGCTACTCACTATTATTTGTGCTTGAAATATGAAAATAATTCTTATCTAGCTCAACAAATACATAAAATATAGTACCATAACTTGATTCTTTAACATATAGGGTTTTTACAAACTATAATTGACACCATATAATTTAATATTTAAATCAACCGTTAATTTTCAATGTACCCTAAATATTTACACAACTTAAAATCACATCAAACAACAATAAAACAACTGAAGTAATATATATTTTAGCATAATAATCAGAATAATCACATTAAAACGATGCTAAATCGACCAAAATCTGGAATTCCAATTGTTAGATTTGCTGACAGATAAGGTGAAACGTTTGACGAGTCGGTGCACCGAGCCGCGAACCCTTGACAATGATTTAAGTCAATAAGGGCCAGGCAAATCAGTAAGGTACGTGAGGCAACCGCACACACACACACTCTCTCACACACTCACACACACTCACACACGAGGGTGGTCTCCCCCAATATCGTATTCAGACCCGCAGCACTTATCGGTTTTCCAGAGACGCGCAATTAATAATTTCCGATCCCCAGATATTATTGCTCCGAGAAAACAAAACCATTCGGATTTGCAAAACCTGTATTGAAATCTGCATTAAAATGTTTTAATCGGAATCGTCCCTCATATTTTTAGGATTAAAAAGTTGTAGCCTTTGTGGTGTTATGTTCAGTGGATTTTAATAAGTGACACCAATGTGTATATGTTGTACTAGACGATGGTACAAAAAAATATGTAAAAATATTACTTGTTCAAAAGAGGTGTGAATCCATTTACATTTAAGTAAATATTAATTACTTAGGTTTTCAAGTCTAGTTTTGATGAAGTTTTATACCTACAGCCATCATAGGTAAAGTTTTGATCCCCTTATATATAATTATTGGTGAGGACTTACTAAACAAGTTGTAACTATTTTGTAGTCCAATTAAAGAGTGCTATTTACACATAGTTTGGTTATACTGTACCTCCAAACTCAAATTATAGTTTGATAAATTATTTTTACTTTTAAAATGCTTTTATCTTTGCAATTGAAGTGAAAATATACTACAGCTGTTGTTTTCGTATCGTATCTCCTCCGGGTCGTTAAAGCATCTATTTATTTATAACCCTGCATAACTATATTAAACTGGTTTTAAATTTCACCAAACATATATAAAAACTAAATAATTGGACATTTTAGTTTTGATTTTTCAACGTATGCATTATAAACTATAGTAGCAAAAACGAAGACTTTCATAAATTATTTGTACAGTTTAAAGTATACAAAACCAATACAACACAAAACTTTTTAGACATTAAACTACAGTCTGGCATACGTTTTTGATAAAACAACAATTTACTCTAAAATAACTCGTTAGTAATATTCCAACATTAATCAAGTGCTATTACAAAATGTAATGATGAAATATTAAATACGAAAAGTTTACATACATAGAATGTAAACCATACAACTACTTATTTACTAAACACTTTTAAACAATAACTAACACAAATAGCTTTTCTTAACCTATATTTTAAGTTAATCGAAAGTTAACTGAATATCTACATCTTTGTTTTCAATACATGTTCAACACAAACGATCTATAATCAAGTAATTAGTACATCACTGAGTGGTTTACGCGTTTGCAAAGTTTCAAAAGTTTACCGCCGTCGCGTCGGCCGCACGGCGGACGCATCTCTACATCTACATCAATACATACATCACTACATCACTAAACAGCTACATTACTACATTTAAACAGCCCTCTCAACATTGATTAATGACCAAGCAGCCGACTCACGTTCAATTATTGCAATAGCTGACATTAACTGAGGAGTTATTTAAATGAGTTGTAATGTTATGCGGAAGAATAAATTAAAATTACTTGCGTGAAGTGCTCATTACTTACTGTTATGTGTTGGAAAAACCTGTGTTTAGTAGGTAACATGGTAATAGGTGTAGTGAGTGATTAGTAATTTATTGCGAAAGTTGATTATAACGTGTTGGACAAAGTCTTAATGAGTTGTAAAGAGACAGTTTTATCGTTTAGGTTATAATATTACAAAAAATTGATCAAAATCTTTGGTTGACTAGGTAATTATTGTTTATTTACATTGAAATGTTTATTATTAAATAAGTTCGGAAAATGAAATACTTTAAAATTAAGGATATTTTATGGTCGGCTCGTAAAAAATGTGTTTAAGCAAGTTTCCTATTGTATTATTTTGTTTAGATTACTTTTCAAAGAACCCTAAAGTTAGCAGTTATATTTACTTTCCTAGCAACTTAATATTTAGAGCGGTGATTCGTAAAGTTAATTCTAGATTTATAAAGCAAACAAGAACAATGTTTATTGTTCGAAATAACCTTTAAGGACGTAAAAACTACTGTAGTAAACTTACTACTGTATACACTTACTGTAGTTATAGTTATTTTTAACTGATGATGTATTTATTTTTATTTTAAAGCTTTGAAATATAAAAAATATGGTGTCTGTTAATTGATTAGTGCTTCTACGATTTCGTAAGATTGTTTAACTTAAAAAGACATTCTAACTAATATATCATTGAATTGTTTATTGCACAGTGAAGTAAAAACTAGTGATCTTTCTGAAAATTTACACCCTACTTTTTGACCAGAGATATTATACTAGCGTAACAAACTTGAACAAACTTTTACCTGCAAATCACTTTTAACTGGTTTAACTGAAAACTTCACAAACCTACTCAAACCCACCAAAACAAAACTACACAAAGAGTTTAAAAGTGGCACAACTTACAGATAAGGTGTTATCGGCTCACATACTCGCGCGACCGCGACGCACACACAAGTGACACAAACCGTCTAAGAAGAAGGGGAGTTTCTTAAAAATATGGCCGCCGGGAATGAACGCATAATTCTCCCGCTCCGTTAATGAATCCGATTAGACAAAAGGTTTTTTTCGCCGAGGGAGAGAGAAGGGCTGACGCAGACGCGCGCACCATGTGAGCGCCCACTTACCGTATTTTTCTAAACAATGAGATCCGCCGCCCACCGCGGGAGGGAAATTCAAAACATGTGTGACACAATTGACACATTCGTACCTGTGCTTGGGAAGTTGGTGTAGAGTAGACGTAGAAGTAGATGTAGTAGTAGATGTTGAAGTCTCGACAATACGTACAAGTTTACAAGTTCCCGTGTAGCGACACTCAAGTATAAGTCCAAGTCCAACTCACATGTCCCGACCACCGCATCGCTCGCGTCTTTTGTTTTTGCTAGCACGACTACTACTGTACTGGCACTGGGCAGCGGTAGAAGGGGCGCAGCGCGCGAGGGGAGGGCCGTCACTGCCCACAGCTCCGACCTTCAATGCGCGAACAAATTTTCTGCAGAAGTGAAAGTCCCCCCTCCCGGCTCTTCAAACCCCTATGCACGGAATAATGAAAGAACGCGTCATTATGATCGAAAAGTATTTGTTTCTCGACTTAAATAACGCCCGCACCGCTGCGGCAAGTTCGGGCACTTGTGGCCACTCCAGGAAGTTTCCAGCTTGCAGACGTTGTACCTGATTTCTACGTTTGTTTCGGGGCTTAAAGTTACGGTGGTGGTTGAAAATGAAATCAAACCACGAAATCTTTGTGGTCTGAAAGAGTTATTTGGCTATGTTTTGATTATCGTATAAAGACTTGACTATTTAGCAATGACGTGATAATTTGCATCTTTAACTTATCAAGTTTGAGCACTTTTTTTAAACACGAATGTCTTGGACAACAATGTGACTTTGCCAAATAACTTTTATAGATTTTAATACTATGTAATAAATACTAAATCTATTATAATTGGTTTAAAAAGCCATTATAGCCATTGTAGATGTAAATATTTTTAATCTTCGTAAGTAAACAGTACATATTAAAATTTTTTCATTAATGAAAGCGTGAAGTTCTCTCCGTATTTAACGATTAAAAATATTGTACTTTTATAACCAACTTAAACTTTAATGTTAAAAAGCTGTAGCCTATACTATTTTAAAAGTACAAAAGATCCATCACTGATTTTTTGAAAATTATTTTAACATTCACAATAAAAAATCACTGATTTCAATACAATAAATTTGAGACAGAATTCATTATCGAAACAATATAAAAAAGTAAAATTACAATTTTGCACAAACAAAATTTTAACCAACAAATGCGCAAAATGAGTCCAAACACTCGAGTCTCGAGTTAAACATCCCCTTTGTATTCATTTACGTGATGATGTCCCCAAGAAATGCACGTAGCTCGATGTGTCCGCCGCTGCATACGTAAGATTAGTTTTTGTAATCCTCCCTTACCTCGGCACAACACGACTCCCCAGGGGATGAATTACGAGCTTATCCAACACCCGGTAAGATCTGTCGTACTACAAAACCCCACGATTAACTGTAATGATGTTCAAGATGTGTGTTGGAAAAAATATATTTATAAGGTGTATCGGTTTGTATTGTACCAATGTGGCTGTAAAGGCAAAATACCCCATCCGCAGCAAACCTCCTGACTAAGCGAACTTTGATTTGTAAATTTCCACTGAAATATTTCCTTGTATATGATAGATTTATCCCTTTAAATAACATTAGGTTTATTTAAACTGCAAGGAATGTCATAAAGTGTGTGTTCTTGATTTAAATGTAAATAGCTTGGTAAGAAATAAAAGTTGACCAAATTTGATAGTATAAATGCAGAAACAAGTGTACAACGTTTTAGATGTCCTTCATTATTTTAATTTGTCTTGGCTAAAGTACCGTCTGATTTTTAGTCAGTAACATATCTGATTCATTAAACTATTGTAAGGTATTTTACTAATCAAAGACCTTACAACTCGCACCCTATGTGTCGGAATCGTATGCACTTCTTATTAATTAATATTCAAAGAGATGATTTTTATGGTTCAAAGAAATTCTAGTGAATAATGTACAAAAAAGTTTAGAAAATTGCAATGCAATTGTTTTCCTTGTCAAAACTTAGCTATTGAGGTCGTACTGTGTGCCTTTTTTGTAATATTACAAATTAAATTTGATTTTCACGCGATCAATGATTTTTTTGGTTTGTCCGATCCCTAAACTATTTTCGTCTTGACGTTGTCGTGAAGTTCTAGAGGTCTGAAAACTTACTGAGTTTTTTTAGAACTATGTCCTATTCAGCCTAATTTCATCTTAGTATTTGTTTGCTTCAGTGATTGTGTAGCGATAAATATTAAATTATCTCTATAACCTTTATCTAAGCCTGGTTAGTGGTTATTATAAAATATTATTTAATAATATCTATGAAATAGATAACATTTGCAAACACCACAATAAACATGGGGCTCGTCTAAAGTTTGCAACATTGAACTTCGGCAGTAAAGACCTGGGTTCAAATCCCCTTCAATCCCCTAACAAATTATTTCAGCTTCTTGCTGATGTTTTGTCTCGATACTTAGCCCATTTTTAGATACTGATATACCTATGTAGAAACACAAAAGCACAGGACCTTCTGAAAAGGGGATCTCTTTTTTAATTTCAGAACTCCCTTAACTTTACTTGTTTACTTGTTTATGTTCCGTGCTTTAAATCAGTGCAAGGAATCCCACCTTGTCAGGTGACTGTAGGAAAATTTATATTTTCAACTAATTATATAAAACTAATATTACACATTTTATTCTTTGAAACGGATCTGTAATTAAAATTAAATTTTTAATACGATTAAAATATACTCGTTGTAAACAATAACGTTTTTGTACAATAATGCAGCACATACAATCCTTGTATCTTTGAATCCCGATCCACGGTCAGGTACGTCCGTCTTTTTATCGTTTGTTAATCAATCATTAACCAACACAATAATTTAGAACTTTCCTCAATGAAGAAAATTTGCCTGGTTCAATATACCCAATATTTTTTATAATTGTCAAATATTTCATAAGTAATCTATTTTGAAAATATGCAAAACTGTTAATAATCATCGTGTTTAAGTACGATAAAAAACTAATTTTTACGTCTTGAAAACAATCGAAGTCATCCAATTACCTAATTGTCATCACTTTCAATATCAGTACTCCTCAGTACGAAGTGTCATTTCCGATTTCAAAACTATCAAATTTCGTGACTTAAAATTTGCAATTCTTGGAAAAACCTGGTGGATTAATTAGTTAATTACTGTCAGCTGTGGCGCGCCGCTACAAACCCATGACAATACGAGTGTCTACCGCACAATGTGAATAATACAAGCCCACTCACCCACATTCGCTCCCCTAGGCATCAAACTGATGGGTTTATCGTGGCCAGCTCTGCTCGTCTGATTGGCGCAGTCGTTTCAACAATAAAACAGATTTTCAATAACTTTAAAGTTTAATTTTTAAGTGTTTTGTTAAATTGTTTTGTTTCTCGTGCTTGTTGTAGGAGTCAATTCGATTGTAAGTGGGCTATTAGTGATGGGATATAATTTATTTTATAAGAATAACATTTTGTTGATTTTTGGAGGAAAAAATATTGTCAGAGAATTATTTTTTGACAACACAGTGAAGATTAAACGTTGGATATGCTCCATGATAGATTCATAAATTCTAGTTAATATGGCTTAAGTTGGTTAAAGTTAAGCAATTAATGGTGGGAAGTTTCGTAAAATTACATGAGGTTGGATAAAAGCAATAATTAAGTTCAATTGATTGAAATTCATTCGAATTTGGTAAAAACTAATCATAAGATGAAGTGTTTATTTGAGTGGTAGAGTTTGGGCCAGCACGTCTTCTATATTACAACACCTTTCTATAAAATAATCATCGACTGGATGAATAAATAATGTAAGAAGAATCAACGTATAAGAAACGCATAACTAACACGATTTTGTCCCACCTTCACATCCTAAGACTCGTCCTAAATACGCACATTCTATGTTCTAGCCCGGGACTTTTCCGGAACTGTTACATATTAGGTTATATAGGTTATTATGTTATATAGGTTAGTGCTAGGGGCATTTTCTCATGGATAAAATCCATTGCCGATTTGCGGGATTTGAAACTGGCACCCTCGGGCTCCAAAGGCCCGCGTTCTAACCCATAACCATCTAACTCTCAGAAAACTAAAAATTATTACTTGCATTTTTACCATATGCTTTGTAAATTAAGCTTAAAACCAGTGAGGAGTACATCGACCAATAATAAGGCTGTATGATGTTTTTACGCTCCTATGAAATAAGCAAAATATGAGGATATTCTTAAAATACCATAAAGTAACATTGCACGGCTAAAGCCTTCAGCAGATAGATAATAATAAAAAAAATCAAACCGTTAGAACCAATAGAAAGATTAAAGTGATGTTTTCAAAAACTCAAAAGTACTCACTCGTGAATGCTTGTTAGATATTATTTCAATAATTGTAAACATCCTCATAAAAAAAACCGGGTTAATTAGAAAAAGTTGTTTGAAAATTTATCATATAATTTACTTAAAACCTTCTGTATCCAATAGTCAATGGTAAAACTGTGGGCGGGTTGGGCCAAAAAAAGTACGGAACCTTACTCAATAATGTCGTGTTTTCCGTTTAGAAAATAGTTATAAGTAATTTTATCACTCGAAATACATGCGTACTTTTTATGTCACAAAAAAATGTCACAACATTTTTATATTAAAAAAAAAAATCAACCAAATGAATAATACTACACGGACAATCCTTGTACCCTTGTATCTTTGAATCCCGATCCACGGTCAGGTACGACTTTTTATCGTACGGCAAAACGCATGAGTAACACCACTAACAAGACTAATTGAGACATATCACGATTAATATCCCAAAATTACCAGTCTGTATTTTCGTGAACGCACCGTTTCCCATAGTATGGACGCATATAAAAGTCTACGGCCGGGGAAGAGAGTCGGTCTGGTATTGTTAATTAATTGCTGGATTTCCGTATGTCGGGTGCGAGGTTAATTGGCCTATTAGTTCACTTTCACGAATACTTAACCGATGGGAAGGTGATATCGCACGGTATGCTACTGCGGCTTCTGCAGCACCAACTGACTGTGACCGCTCGGCGAGGGTGGGGAGGGCTCTGGATAAATATACAACTTTAATGCAATATTGTTTATGGTGTAGGTAGGTCATTAAGTTTAGTTTGTGACCAGAAATATGTTAATTTTACTAGTACAGAAGCCTCAAAACTGAGCCAACTTCTTCAACAATTGAGCTTTTGGAAAACATATCATGGCTGTACGCTCATCTTCGTCAATAACATCTGTAAATCCAACCTCATACATTTTATACTTGTACTCACCTTAAACTTCTCCCTCTAGAAAATTTATGTGAAAAATTAGATGAATAGACAGGGT